AATAAAATTAAATTAAAAAAATAAACAACAAAAAAAAGAACGTCAAGTTTTCTCCTTTTCCTCCAATGGTCCCTGCCACCCACTTTGGCATACACATTACTTCCTTGCAAAGAAAATTCACACTAGTTTACTATAAGAAAAATGTCTTAACACTTTACTACTTATCCATGTTATAGATGAAAATTCTTCCGTACAGATCCCCAGCGTACTTTGGATTTAAATATAATCATGTTTCTCTTTTCTCTGAGAATTAGGAGTTGATCTATGAATATAGCTTCTAATTTAGAGCCTTTTGTTATATTCTTAGCTGAGATAAGACTGTTACTTCGCAGTTCTCTTCCGCCTTTAAAGTGACTGTTTAAATCATTGTGCTTTCACTGCGCTTTACACGCTTGGCTTCTGCTCGCCAAGGGCCAGTCCACTGGGGCGGGGGAGGGGCCGCTGCACAGTTAGGGAAGGACTACACGTCCGAGCTCTCCAGCCTGGACGGCACGCCGCCCTCTTCTCAGCAAAGGGGATGGAAAGCACAGCCACGAGGGCAGGGACGTCGTAGGAGCACTCTGGTCTGTCGACTGCTCAGCTGCTACATCCAGAACATGCTTTGTTGGGTGATGTTCGAGACGTAGAAGAGCGGGCCTTTCTGGCCCGGCTCTGTGCTGGCTCAGGGTGCCAGCAGTTTCTCTGAGGAGGCCTGCCTTTATAGTCGTACATTCTGAACATTTTAATCAAGGAGCAGCAGATTTGGAAAGCCCCTGTGGGGCAGGGCCAGTGTAAGGTTCCCTCTTTTTTATCTCTTCCTTTTGCCCCTCAAACTGCTGGTTTTTCCTTTGAAGTAGGGACTTGGCGTGCTCGATTAAAGATTGAGTGGGATTTCTAAAATAATAATAATAATAAAAAAATAATAGTAATTGTGCTTCTGGTTCAGTTGCATAACACAATCAAACTGCAATGGATATACTACTGAATTATTAAATGCTTCATGATCAGTTGCAGTCCATTACAATAGTACTATTTCCACATCTAAAGATTTCCTGTATCAGCTTGCTTGTCTGCTGTTGAAATAGAAATATGGGTTCATACACTGCTACACGGCAGGGTGGCATGGAACGTAAAAAGTGCTCAGGTCTCATTCCGGCGTTGCAAATATGTAGAGAACTGTCCATATCCATGAAGTCCAGGGTATTCATGTATATAAATATAAAATTAACTTAAAAATAGAATTGAACTTGTAATTAGTTTTACTATATGTAGTTTTTTGTGATAAAACTCATATAATTAAAAATTGAGGCAGCAGAATACTGTTTCAAAATAAATATTCTATGCTGAGGTATAATAAGTACTCTAGAGAATGCAAATAGCCTCTCATTTTACACACTGAAAGCTGTCCCGAAAGACGTTTTGCATTTCGGTGCGCTGATGGTATTTAGGAGGTTGGAGGAGTACTCTGCCCTCATTGGTGGTTGGCCTCTAAAAGCTCTCAACTTGATACACTGCTCCTTGACTAAAGCATCACTGATTTAATTCCATGTTTTGGAAAAATCTCGTCATTACCAACATCCCCACTGCTGTCCTCTCTGGCATGCCTGATCTGGTAGCTCATGTCTGCTCTTGGACTCTGTTGTCTTTGGGGATGTAGAAATGCAGACAAACATGTCAGCTTTGTGTAGCATGATCTGAGTCCACAGGGCTAGTCATTCAAGTATGAAAGACCAGAAATAAGATGTTGCCCTCTGAGGAAGGCCCATTAAACTGGAGCAGGGCTAGTGATGGTCTCTGCGCTGTGCTTGCCGTCTAACTTGAGCTTAGGCAGTCTCCCAGAACCTTCTTAAGGGCACACATCACTTCTTTGTTCCTTAGACTGTACACAAGGGGGTTCATCGTAGGGGTGAGGATGGCACCAAGCATGAAGAGGACCTGATCCAGCGTGGGTCTGTGGTAGGAAGTAGGCCTCATGTAGACCAGCATGGCTGGCCCAAAGTAGAGGCTCACCACTATGAGGTGGGAGGAGCAGGTAGCCAGGGCTTTGTTCCTCCCCTGCGTGGAATTTATGCGGTGGACAGCGAGGAAGATGAGAGCGTAAGAGGTCAGGATGAAGGACAGCGGGATGAGGAGTACCACAGTGCTCGTCACCAGCACAGCCTTCTCGTAGGCAGAGATGTCTTCGCAGACCAGCTTTAGGATGGCCATAACCTCGCAGAGGAAGTGCGCAATCTCTCTGGAGCCACAGATGGGGAAGTGCATGGCATAGGCTGTGTGCGCAAGGGAGGTGAGGGCACCACCAGCCCACGCGATGGCAGCCATCTGCAGGCAGACCTTCGGGCTCATGATGAGGGCGTATCTCAGAGGGTCGCAGACGGCCACATACCGGTCGTAGGCCATGAGGGTAATCAGGATGCACTCAGCAATTCCTAGCGTCAGAAAGAAGAAGATCTGAGTCCCACAAGCCACCCGGGAGATGTTTCTCTTTCCTGAAAAGAAGTCTGTTGCCATTTTGGGTACAGTGCTAGAGATTAACGTCAGGTCCATGAGAGCCAGCTGGCTGAGCAGGAAGTACATGGGCGTGTGGAGGTGGGCGTCCACCCAAATCAGAAGGATGAGCATGGAGTTTGCAGTGAGAGCCACAGCGTAGATCAGGAGGACGGCGGACACAAGGCAGTTGGCCTGCCTCAGACCAGGGAAGAGGCCCAAGAGGACGAAGTCCACATCCAAAGACACGTTCCCTTTATTCATGCCTCCGCCTTCTTACCTGGAACTCCTCAACCTTGGAAAGAAGAGAGAGTTTGAGAATCATGAAAATTTATTGGATTCGCTTCCTTTCTTATGCTTCAGCAGCATGAGCAAGCTGTGGACTTCTTGCAAATGATACCACTTGAACCAGTTTCATGGCTAAGAAAGAACCGAACCTGAATCAGCGCTTCTTTTACAAGGAGATGTGCTTCAAATTCGGCTCTCCCCCGTTCTCCTTCCAGAACGAGTTGCTGCCAGCCAGGTCAGCTAATGCCCATTCTGCGTCCAGGACTGCAGTCCGGGGCCAGCAACACCTCTGCCCCTCTGTCCCCCTCACTGCGCAGCCATTCCTCCCCCCTTGTCACCTCACTCAGCTGATGGAACCTCTGCGCAGTCCCCGGGCTCACCCTACTCTCACACATTCTGTGTGTCATCCAGTGTTCCGTGACTTGGGTAGATGAAGTTGAATGAACTATAGCTTCTGAGGCCAGGAAATCACTGCGTTGCAGGTGGTGGCTGGTGAGAGGTGACATGAGAAAAACACAAAAATGGTATAAAGCTGCACATATGATACACTCAAGAGTCAAAATGCTCATGCTTCAGAGAGCTAGAGCAACTGCACAGTGACAAGTGTGTCCTCCCCAGCTTTATCTTCCCTAAGCTGAGCCCCATCCAGCTGTGACATGTACAAGGACAGGACTGTAGACTTGCTTTTAATTTTTTTGTACTGGGGCTCCAGCTAAGGACCTTGCACTTGCCAGGTAGGGCCCATGCTGCTGAGCTGAGCTCTCTCCCCAGTCCAGGACTGTAGACTTTTAGGAAGGGAGTGTGACTAAGGGGCTAGGTGATAAGGCTGTAGCTTCTGCAAGATCACAGCACTACTTTGTGTGAAGTAAAATGACACAAATTGCTGTCCCGCCAGTTTTCCAATTACAGCCACTTTCATATCCTTATTAAAAATATACCTAATAATGTTTTCAGTCAACATGGCCTTGAATTGTTTGCCTTGATTATTAGGACATCAATCGCTCCTGTACTAGGTAATTTCCCCCAATCTCAGTAGCTTCAGGTAATAGAAGGGCATTCAGATGAAGTCTAAAGTGGCGGAGACAGCAGTTGGCTCTACCCTGAGCGACACTTCCAGGGCCATTCTCCTGCCATCTTGTTGTTTGTCATCTTCAGCAAGGATGCATCAACCAGCAGCAGCCACTGTTGCCAGCAGCTCAGAGGTGGGGAAGAGGTGCCAGGTCAATGGGCCGAAGCTGAGAGCACAGCGGGGAGCTCCTCTAGTGTCTAGCCCAGCCAGGATGGGACAGTGTATCTCCCTGCAGGGAGCTGGGAAGTGCACCCAGTTCTGTGCACAGCAGGGAGGGAAAGTGCTTTGGTAAGCAGCTGCCAGTCCCTGTCACAGCTGCTAGTTTAGTCCCTGTTTACGTCAGACCTAGAAGCTAGCTCACAGCAGACACCGTTTTGCATGCCTTTACCCCTGCTTGGCCACAGCCACGAGAACATCAGCACTTGCTGGACTGGACGGAGCACACACTCTTTGCTCAGGAGGGCAGTTCTTCCCTTCCACAGGCTGGTTCTTGGCCCTTTCCAAAAAAATCGATCTTGGTTTGGAGCAACAGTTTTCTTTTTAAAGTTTTGTTAAACTAATTTAAATCTCTCTACTTTACTTGATTTGCTAATGTATATTAAGTATTTAAAAATTAAAAAATAACTCATTTTTATGGATATACTTTTTCATCTCTAGGAGGTATAGTTTGTTGAGTGTCACCATGTCGTGTGCCACTGCACAAGAGCTTCCTGCTGCGTGCAGCTCTCCAGGCATGACTGCAGGCGTCTGGTACTCGCCTGCCCGCACGTGTGTGTCGGAAGGGAGAAAGAGCGCTGAAAGGAGCAGCATGGTTGGGCCGAGATCCTTACGTGCGTGAAAAGCACTTAGCGTTGTCTGCTACCTAAGGGGGTGCTCCTGATGTTCCTAATCGAGGAGGAGTCCCGAAAAGAGTGAAGAGAGCCCTAATAAAATACTCACAAGCTATCAGCTCCGAGGCACTTTTTACAAGATTCCTGCCGTCTATAACCATAAGCAAGTTTGCATGTCTAACAATTCTTCTACCTAAAACGCAATTTATTGTGACATTTCCAACAAGACGAGACAGCACATGGTGGGCATCATTCCAATATTAATGACATCTACCCGCTGAACAATAGTTTTCTATTACTAATATTCTAAGACTTCATGGCTTAAAACAACAGGCAAGTATTATTTCACAATTTTTTTCATCAGGGATCTGAGCACACCCTAGCTTGTTCTCTTCGTGTAAGTATTTTTGACAAGACTGTAATGGAAATCTCAGCTGATGTTATGAGTTCATCTGAATGCCCAGCCAGGAGGATCTGCTTCCACACTTGTGTGCTGCAGGTAAAGGTCAGACCCTTTTGGTGGACTCTCAGGTTGAGCGCTCAGTTTTTGTTTGCTGTTGGATGGGGCTTTCACTTAGTATATTGTTTTCCATGGGGGTAGCTTACGGCATGAAAGCTGGCCTCCGTGGGGGGGGGAGAGAGAGAGAGAGAGAGGGACAGAGAGAGGGACAGGGGACAGAGAGACAGAGACAAAGGAACAGAGGGAGAGAGACAGGAAAGGGAGAATCAGTTGGACATCAGTCTTTTTGAAACCTAATAGCAGAAGTAACAAGTGACAGTGAATCATCCAGCCTGTGTTCCGAGGACAGATTGTAAAGGCCGTGAACACGGGCAGATGCAGATCAATGGGATCATCTGAGGTTGCCTATCACATTTTCTGAATTCATACATTTTTGCAGTACTTTTGGATTTTAAACTTAGACAGTGTCTCTAAAAATTAATTTGCCCTTATCCCGTTATTTTTATATTACTGTCATTTTAGTGGTAAACAAAGCTCAGCAAATGACTGCTCAGCAGCTGATGCCCAGCCGAGATGACAGTGAAGGGACCAGGTACATGCCTTTCTCACGTTGATTTTCTTACTTATTTTCAGGGCTTTGCTTTAAGTTGTTGCTAAATAATTTTCAAGTTAGTCATATTGATTCTTTTAATTTGGATCACCTGGGGAACAAAGATGTGTTCAGTCAGTGTAGAAGTATTTAATTCCGTGAATAAACACTATAAAGAGATGCTTAGAAACTCAGGAAGATAATTTTAAGTTTTAAATTAGTGCTTATACTTTATGTGTGGATTTTTAATCATCTAGGACATACACAAAATGTTAACAGATTTCCATTTTGCATAATTATAAATTTCATTAAAGTCAGTTAATTTCCAAGTGTTCACAGTTAACCCCTAAGCCTTGCATGAAGATCTCTGCGCACCTCCTCTCGTGCTGGAGCCGGTCTGTGGGGAGGTCCAGAGCCCTGACGGCAGCGCTCACCCCTCCGGGTGTGGAGCAGCTCAGTCGGTGCAGCTGGGATGCAAGATTTTGCTAAGAAAGCAAGATCAGAAGTCAGCAGTGGTGGCTGCAGTTTGTCATAGGTTCTGCTACTTGGCTTACACCCGTTACTAAGCACGCTGGCCTTGGCCTCTGCCCGCTCTGCAGCCTTCCCCTTGTGGGTCTGGAACCGCGTACTGTATCCTCATAGGTGTCGGCTCAGATTCTTGTGTCCCAAGGCTTGCGGCCCCAAACACAACCGTGAACAGGCTTATCACCAGAATAGGCATGTACTCACTCTGGACGTCGTCGGGCAAGTTTACATCAGCAGGTCTCTGGATGATGAGGTGACAGCAGGGTGCCGTGAGGTCTGTCCCACCACAGCAGTCTTGTGGGCGACTTCCTTCCTCAGGCTGGATGAGCCCCTTGCCCTCTTGTCCCCCCCTTCCCCCGTCTGACTAGAACCCTCCCAGGGACAGATCTGTGATCAGCCGATCGTCTCCATGGGAGGCACTGGGCTCCCGCAGAAGGGACGCCAGCAGCCGAAGGTGTGGGCTTCTCGGAGTGGCGTTTCTTGGCTCAGAACTGACCGGGGAGGCCGAGTGTGGGGGTCTAGCACCCTGCGCACGTGCAGCAGAGCTGTGGCAGCTCTTCCTTCACCCAGGCCACGTCCTCTGATGTCCCTCAGCCCCGCAGGTGCCGACCTCTGGCCCAGGCGCCACTGAGTCACACATACACCACGGAACAGCGTCTCACTCTCCCTTTCTCTCATGTAAGCTTTCACTCTTCTGTTCCTGCGTTTCCTTCCTGGAGGGCCTTGACTCTGTGCACCTGTGCTTTCTAATCCCCTAGCCAGCCCCGCCCTGTTTCCTAGTACATAGTCTGTGTCTTTTTCCACCTTGCTGTAACAGGAAATAAATCCTAATTTTTCCCATGCTTGCAAGGAGAAGTTTATTCGGACAGAAGATGTCAGAGGTATACGAAGAAATGGCCTCTTTACTTCCTGATCAGCCACTGGCCGGTCATGACGAACATTTCCAGACTTTTGCTGGGTTACAGACCTGTAGTTCTAGGAGGTTTTATTAATTTCCAAGGTAAAAAGTTAGAATTGTATCACTTCTCATAAATTTTCTTAATGTATTTTGTTTAAATAATTCTGTCAATAGAATGAGAAGATGTGGTTGCTCCAGAGAAAGTGGCTTCGGGGCAGGCAGGTCCCTTGCAGAGAGGAAAAGCCCCTCATAGAGCCCCACCCCAAGGTTTAGGCGTGCTGGTGAAATCTCTTTCATCTTAGTCAAAGAAATAGGTTTCTGACTTCACTCAGTTAAGACTGCTAACAACCTGTTAGCCTCTATCAAGGTAAATTTTATATTGTACTGGCACTTGGGAGCCTGAAAACAGGAGGATCGCTACGAGTTCGATCTATGTGGTGAGACCCTGTAGACCGTGTACTAAATGCATAAAAAAGTATATTGTGAAGGAGAGCAGTCCCCTTTTGCTTTTATCTTACCGTGGTTTTCTGTTTATTTTACGAGTGCAGAGCTTCAACAGCCTATGTGTTTTTCTGGACTTGTCCGTTTTCTCAGGGATAATCCGTCTGGGTAGACGCAATAGAGTTTGGTATTGCCTTCTATACAAGAAAACTCAGAAGTTGTGGTCTAACTGGGTGATTTCATGTGCTCAGAATTCTCCCCCTGGTTCTAGATTTCTTTACAGCATGGTTTCCCCTGCACATAGCTGCCTCAATGACAAGAACTCTCACCTGACATTTCTAGGGTGTCTTTTCCCCAGGGGCAGGTGGAAGTAGACCCAGAGCTTCCTGTGAGTCCCCGGGGCTCACTTGGCTATCCTGGGTCCTGTTTTGGGCTTAGTGTTGAACTGGTTGCCCATGGGAACCACGGTGCTTTAGCCATTGAGATTCATGCAGCTATGTGTTGAGGGTGGAACAGAAAACTGTATTTTTTTTGAAATTTAGAGTCTCTAAAAATTCTTTAACTCACTTTACAGCATGTAATCCTCTGCCCACAGTGCCAGATAGAGTTATGCTCACTTAGAATGATGTTCAAAGGTCACACAACTACTTAGATTATGGGATTAATGAGTCTTTAATGTAATAAATGTTTTACTTAAACACTTACCAGATATTTGGATCTCAGTGTATATATATGCAACACGATATTATTCAGCCATAAAACAGATAGTAATCTCATTCTCAGGAAAATGGGTGGATGTGGAAACTATCATGTCAAGTGAAATTAGCCAGATCACAAATATCTCATGATTTCCCTTATGTGGGAAACTTTAAAAATAAATAAATAGATTAATATATAATTAAAATGAAAGGAAGAAGACAGGGGACGGGGGTAGAGTTCTGTAGACAAGGACAGTGTGTGTGGGGGAGGAGCAAGGGAGCAAGGGGACTCGGACTCAAACTGGTGAAGATACGTCAGGTGTGCAAACCAACTTCCTAAAAGAGACCCCATCCCTGTGCTGTGTTGACATGAACTAGTATAAAAAGACCACTCAGGCGGCTCCTTGAAAGAGGAGTAATTGTCTCTAGTTTGGCTGAGGCTGACCCTATGTCCATGCATTGAAATGATAAAGCTGGCTAGAACTTTTCCTTGTCCCTTCATCTGGCTTCAAGCAATGCATATTGGTCCAGCCCAGGTGCTGGTGCTAGTCTTTGAGGACTGCACATGTACTGCCCCAGAAGCCCCACCTGCTGCTCCCTAATGTGAGCCAGGTCCAGATGGGATGAAGAGCCCATGCTCTACACTGTCTGCTGGGATCGAGCCTCCAGATAAGGCTGTGACTTTCTGGGGATTGAAAGCTTGCACATCAGAGCTGAACACGGACCCCAAGACATTAGATGCTATCTCGGTTGTGTCGTGCAGATTGCTTTTTCTGCACACCTTCTCTCTGCATATCACAGGGGTGAATGCAGGCCTTCTACCCAGGTGAGCTGACAGCACTCACCCACTTCCTGCTCATCCTCAAGCCATTCCTTTCTTCATGAATGAATAAAACCCAGTTTGGCCCTTTTGTTCCAGATAGCCTTCACCATGGCTGGGCTTAGGACCCCTTGACTCCCCATAACTACATATATGCTTTGGTGTCTTTATTCTCACCATGGATTGCACTGGGTGTGGTAGATTGAAGTGGACTAGGCTGGATTCCAAAAGTTTATCCATGGGATTACAAATATAATCTTCTTGGGCCAAGATGAGGACCAGGAAGGGGCTCTATACCAGAAAGTAAAATGTTGCATGTTTTATTAAAAGTGAAGCCTATTAATTAAATAAATAAATGAAGGAAGGACATGTCACGACAGGAAAAGGTAGACTTTTGGAGATAGGAGAATTTATTTTGGGAATTGTAAGAAAAGGAGAGGGAGTAATGGGATTTAATAGGATCAAAATATGTTTTATTTTTTATTTTTATTAATTTTATTTTTTTATTTT